CTTCCCGCAACAAAGCGTGCGGGTCTACCATCTCGTAGCACTTGGACATATCCAAAAGAATCGTGCATGTGTTCTCACCTAGCAACTCGGCAATCTCCTGCTGCAAATTGTGGTCGAATGCCGAATCGCTCGAAGTCTGCCCCGATTTTGTGCCCCACATCTCATGACAGGCATAGCGATCCTGCCACTCCCTCGAAATCGGTCGTCTGAGTTTCCCCCATACACGTATCAATGTGTTACTCAGAACAATTAATCGGTGATCGCCATCGGGTTTCGGCAGTCGCACGAGTTCGCTGTATATTCGATCTGCTGGCCAGCACAACCACCGTTCACACAGCATGAAGAGGTTGCCGATTGCTTGGAGCGCGCCGTCGGACAGGACGTCCAGACTCCTCGGCGCCAACCTCGTAGGGCCAGCAGCTGTCTTGGTCGAAAAAGACCTTACCACATTCCTTACATCAGTAGAAGAGATATGGGGGAGAGCTTCCCACTCGCTGGAATCCGAAGGAAGATCAGGCGCTTGAAGCCGATGATGCGTCCATACCTTGGACCAATGCCGCAAAGTCTGGTCCGCTAGCTGGTATGGCTGAGACTCCTGACAATATTGGAGTACTTCAGCTTGTGCTCGGACTTTGGACATCGCGTGGGCCCGGCTGGCCCCTTCCAAGAAAGACTCGCGAGCCCATTCTCTCCAAATCTTTTCCGTTCTAGAACGCTCCTGGCCTAAAACCTTGTCGGCCTGGGTGGATATGGCATCGGTGATACTCTCAAAAATAGGATCGACTATCATCACCAACCCTTTTTGCAGAAATTCACTGAACTCCTCACCCAATTCCTTGAGCACCCACTGCTCAGCAGAAATCTTGTCACAGTATCTTCCAGCCTCGTCGAACGCCTGCAGCACCTTGAAGTACTGCATCTCAGTTAACGTGCACACCGCACTACATATTCGAAGCCGCTCACAAAAACGGTGCAGCTTGTCCTTCTCCGACCGCAGGTGGGCAACCCAACGCTTCGCCGTGGCCCACGCAGCCACCTTGGAGTCTCGATACTCTCGCCTTCGAGGTGGAGTCCATGTCATTTGTTCCCATTTGAATCGTGGGGGTCCAGCTCGTCCGACGAATTCCTTGGCCTTTGAATCGACTTTGTCAAACCTCCCAGCAATCTCGAAATCAACGCCATCAAGTACTGCGTCCCACACACGCGGTAGGTCACTGGACGACTGCACAGACTCAAACATGCCTTTGATCCCTTCCCAATTGTACGGGTACCTCGCACATCCCACTGGTGGAATCGGAGGGAACTTCCTCGGTTCATCAGCTACTCGACACCACATGGGCCTGTCCGATCCGTGGACCACTAGCTGCACAGGAAAATGTGGGGGTGGAATGGTGGCTTGGGCATTCAAAACAACCGCCTGCCTGTCAAGTCTGGGAACCAGGTTGCTGGCGGCCAGAAAATAATCAATCTTGGAAGAACCAGCGTCGGTAATGCACGTGGCCTCCGAAGGAACAAACGCCAAGCCAGCAAGCTTCTCGACCCATCCCTTGACATTGACGGCATAGAAGTCGCAGTTCCAATCACCGCCTATAACCCAGTCCAGTCCCAGAGCCTGCCACTGAGCTATCCTCTGCACAACTGCCCAAAGTATAGCAAGATTTTCCCCAGTCATGCCTATCGCCGTCACAAAGTAAACGCTAGTAAAGACAATGCCACCTGGGACCCCACATTGCACGTGGGCACATACCGCTCTTCCAGGATATATCACATGGCTACCGTCGGGGGGGGCGGTGATGGTAATGTTGGTGCGAGCAAAAACCACCACCCCACTCGAGTTGGACGTGGTCGACTCGCCCGTCAAGCCAGAATCCCACGAGCCCTCTGGGCGTAGGTGGTTCAGGGAGTTCCCTCTGGACGAAACGGTCGACGGGAGAAGGACGAGGAGGACAAGGGGAAAGCCAGAACTGGTAAGCCGCCCTGGCTGGCGGCGCACGGGAAGCCAGAACTTCAAGCCGCCCGGACAGGCGGCGCCTGGACAGCCAGGATCTGTAAACCGCCCTGGCAGGCGGCGCAGACAGACACACACTATTTCTTTTTTTTTTTTTTTTTTTTTAAAAAAAAAAAAAAAAAAAAAAAAAAAAAAAAAAAAAAAAAAAAAAAAAAAAAAAAATGGGAACATACATATATATATATGTATGTATGTATGTATGTTGTATGTATGTATGTATGTATGCATATATGTATGTACATATATGTGTATATATATATATATATATATATATATATACAAATACAAATATAGATTGTCCGTGCACCGCCCTTCTTCAGGAGGTTGGTTGGCTGGTTCGCACCCGAGGCTGAGAGGTCTGGTGCGCCCGCTCCTGTTGTCACTCGATCCGTGCTCGTTTAGATGGCGGGGTCTGTCCCTGACAAGCAATCTGGTTTCACAGGGAGCTCACGAGTATCACGGCTTTGTCACATGTAACCACTTCTGCCTCGAAAAAAGGATTGGGCATGTTTCATATACCGACCCGCCCATCTAGCGATGAACGCGCCATCGATCCCACCACTGCGGGTATCGCCACTATCACTACTGCTGCCGAGCCTGCTTTGCAGTATCCATCTCTAGCTGCAGAATCCCCATCCGAGAAGACCTGCAAAGCCAGGACGCTGCCCAAGCAATCCAAAACGAGCCTGTCATCCCAAACTACCCCGTCGCAGCGATGATCAAGGATGTGATTCGCGACGTGGTCCCGCTTCGGTGTTGTATTCCCTGATCCGCCAATCCACAGGATCCACAAACAGCCGATGCCGAGACTGTCCTCGATGCCGCTCCGCATGCGACAAACTGGAGCCGGCTAAAATGGATTACTGATGGGCGCAACTCCAGTGGCCAAGTCTGCAATGCCCGAATTGTCCACAACAAACTCAGTTTGCAAAGACGCGCTGGCGCCACAATCTGACCACAACCAATCCCGATTCAAGAAAGCCGGCAACTACAGTGCAGCAAATCTGGGTCATAATCCTTCTCTGGGTCCTCATTCGTCCAGCCGGTTGGTCTGAAAAGAGCGGCACACCTTGCCGGCAGTGGCAATCCCATCGAACGACAAGCGTCTGCGACGAAACCCAGCACTCCTGCCAGCCATGCCTCCTTAGATTACACGGCTGCCACACGCTGTCTCCAAGCTGGCCCCCATGCTTGAAAAAAGATGGCGTCGCAAGAAACTTGGAAACACTGGCGCGCCTGAACCAAATCAGCTGGAATCCGTCAGTGCTCCGGGAACTACCCTATGTCATCCCACCACGCGCACGGACTTCTGCGGCTGTCCGAGCAACTGTCCGCTATCTCCATACGGTTTTGCACAACCTTTCAATGATAGCAACAGTAACCGATGCAACTCCATCTATCCGTGGCGGCGTCCGTTGAAAGTGAGCTTGTCGGCCTTCGTCTGGTTTGGGGTTCACCCTGAACGATCTGCGCAATGTTGCCTTTTCCCACGACAGTGCCGCGCGTAACGTAATTCAGAATCGAACTCAAGAGTAATGCAGATTCCCGTGTCATTGCCACGTACGCCCAAATCAATAAAGATACTGGGGCTTTTCCTCGGAAGTGCTGCTGATATTTGAAATGCAAGTTCTAGAATTTGTTGAACCGATGCGCAACGATAGCCCCAGTAGGGTCCGAACTTATCAGAACTCCTCAGAGAGCCTCCATACGATCGACACGCTGGTACGAAAGTTCACCGTATATGGAAGCAACCTCGTACGCGTCGCGCAGCTCTTCGATGCCTTGCGTCAAGACATGTCGGACTACTACTGAACACATCGTCGGATTGCGTCCTGGCCATAAACTCAAATAGATGAATATCCGACGCAATAGTGAAGTGGTCGCAAGCCCAAGTGGCACCCGGTATCCTTTCTCGCAACTGGTCGAGTGTAGAGCCAAGACATTGCAGCTGCAGCTCTAGTAGCGGTTCCATCGCGGAGCCGAACGTCTGCACACACCCACACACAACACACAAACACGTAAACTAGAAAACAAGCAAACAAACAAAAATATTACGAAAACACAGTTGTACGCTGATCTATATATATATATATATACATGCATGCATATATACGTACGTGTATACATGCATACATACATACATGCATGCATGCATACATACAGACATACATGCATACATATAAATATATACATATACATAACACGTACATACATACATATTTACATACATACATGCATGCAGACAGACAGACAGGCAGCCAGGCAGACATACACACGCATACACACATACACACATACATACATACACACATATCTACATACATACGTACGTATGTACATCCGTACATACATACATACATGCATGCATACAATCATACATATACGCGCACACACATTCACTAGCTCTCACACACACACACACTCGCGCGCACGCACATGTCGTGTGTTCCCGTCTTCTCCTCTGCCTCCTCATTCGTAGCCGATGTCATCCTCATACTCTTCATCACCATCCCCGCCATCGCCGTCATCATCATCATCATCATCATCATCATCCTCCTCCTCCTCCTCCTCATCCTCATCATCATCATCATCATCATCACCGCATATTCGTCCTCGTCATCACCCTCACCAAATCGGCATCATCCTTGTCATCATCATCCCTCTAGCATTGCACTGATCTGTGTTTTGCCGGTGTCACCATGATCGTCATCATCACCTCCACCACCACCATGGTCATCGTTACCGTCATCAACAGCATTATCGTCGTCATCGTCTCTGCCATCACAATCGTCGTCGTCATCCTCATCTTCACCTTCATAATCGTGTTCATCATCATCACCAGCAGCAACAACACCATCACCATCACCATCGGAATCATCATCACTATCATCAGCATCACCATCACCATCACCATCACCATCATCATTCAGCATCATAATGACCACCATCATCATCGTTATCAGCATCATCACCTACCAGCGAGGCGCCACGCCTGGCTTGCCGCCGTCGGCGCTGGGCTCCCACACCTGGGCGGCACGCGCCCCAGCACCGCGCAAGGCAGAGGAAGGAGAGGAAAAAGGATAGTAAGAAGGATCAGAAGGATAAGAAGGAGAAGAAATGGAATATGATAAGAAGAAACATGCAATAAAATATTATATGATAATAAGAACAATCATGATGATAAGAAGAATACGACGGCGCATGATGATGATAAGGGACTGAAGAAAGATTCAGAGAAGGCGAACGGCACCACTCACTGAAATCCATGGAACGAACTACCATGTCCAACCCTCCCGCCAGCCCCAAGCAGCCCGGACAACCCCACAACCCCGGCCAACCCGTCGGGCCCACCCTGGCGATTCCTTCCATAAGAAGCAGCTCGAAAGCAGGCCCCGCGAAGGCGGTCGTCAACAACAGCATGGCAGAGTTCCGCGTGCCTGAACGGCGATGCGGGATCTTATACCTGAGAGCCAGGGAGGACCTCAACAGCTCTTATCCCACGGCGGCCCCCTGGGGCATCACGTTAGTAGGAGGGAGAAGGAAGGAAAGGGAGGAAGGGATGGAGGGAGGACGACGATGACGACGACGACAACGACGCCGACAACTACAACGCCGACGACGCCGACGACGACGACGACGACGACGACGACGACAACGAGGAGAGGACTGCGGAGACGCCGCCGCCGCCGACGGCGACGACAGGACGGCGGCGACGCCAGCGACGACGACGCCTACGACGACGCCGACGACGCCGACGCCAACGCCGACGCCCACGTCGCCGCCGCCGCCGCCAACGCAGACGACGGCGGCGACGACGCCTACGACGCCTACGACGACGCAAACGCCTGCGCCGCCGCCTGCGACGGCGGCCATCGGCCACAGCAGCGGCGACGGCGGCGCCGACGACTGGCAACCAGCAAAACGCGGCCCCGGGCGGGCGCCGCTCTGCCTGCTGCTCCGCCACGAAGTGCAGGGCCACGCGCTCCTGCAGCCCGTCGCCCACGGAGAGCACCCGCTTGACGCCCTGGCGGCAAGGATTTCGGCGGCCATCGGCGGCGGTCGGCGGCCGTCGGCGGCCATCGGCGGCCACCGGCGGCCATCGGCGGCGGTCGGCGGCCGTCGGCGGCCATTGGCGGCCATCGGCCGCCATCGGCGGCCTTCGGCGGCCTTCGGCGGCCTTCGGCGGCGTTCGGCGGAGGAGCGCTTCGGCGGGGGCCAGTCGGCCATGCCCAAAGCGTGGCCTTAGACAAGAGTGACCCCTGGAGCGCGGTTTTGGGGTGCCACGGAAGGGTGGCGATTGGCAGATCCGAACGCGTAAGCCGGTACTGGGGAACCCCCTGTGGGCCCGCACCAAAGGTCACTCCGGAGAAGGGCCGCTCTTGCGTTCGGGGAAACGTATGACTCGAGGTTGGAGGACTCGAATTGGCCTGTCAGGGAGGTCCGGAAAAATGGCCAGACCCGGTCTGAAATTTGACGCGAAATCCAAGTGCAAACGTCCCACGAAAACTGGACTGTCGAAATACATGACGGACCCGAGAAAAGGCGACGGCTAACATGAGTTCTGGCGAACTCGAATCTGACGTTTCCCCGATCCCTGGCTCTCCACATTCCACACCTTCCGACCAGCAGGTGGCTGATGTAGTGATCTCCTCGCCCGCCCAGGAAGTTGGGAGGCAACTCCCTGGAGCTTCTGGCGAGAACGACTACGGTCAGGAACTGTTGCTTAGCGTGTCGCGGCGGCGGCCCCAGCGACACGTTGTGCCTTGCAGGCGGCTGGCGTGTCGCTCTGCTCCGCGCGGCGGGGGGCTGGGAACAACTCAGGACGCTTGACATTTGGGCACTGGGCCGCGGACAGCGTGTCGCGCCGAAGCGCGGATAGGCGGCCACATGCGAACCCTACCCCTACCCCCCACGATTTCTGGGGGGGGGGGGGGTCACTTCGACCGAGAGCTCCCGAGCGAAGTGAGCCCCACCCTCCCCCTCAGAAATCGTGGGGGTAGGGGTAGGGCTCGCATGTGGCCCCCTAATTTGGGCACCGGGACGCGGACAGCGTGTCGCGCCGAAGCGCGGTGGGCCAGAACCGGCGGCGCGACACACGAAGCTAAAGCTCCTGACCCTAAGCCCGATGAAGCCGGATCGGCCCAGGTGGAGCGCAGGATCAAGCCAGAGCCAGGATGAGCGGGAGGCAGCGCAACTTGCGCGAGACTAGCACAGATCAGGCCAGGCTTCGACCACGGATGTACCAGCGCCGATGCTGCAATCCAACTCCCAGGAGCTGCATCCCCACCTGGCGGTCCCTCAAGAGGCCGCCCCAGGCCTTCAGCCTTTGCATCGCCCAGCACCCGTGATCGCGCCGCCGGCCGCGCCGAGGAGGCACAGGCCGTCGGCCTGACTGGATCGACGCAGCACCTCGCCGATCGGTGCTGCGCACACGCATCGGCACGGATCATCGGATCGGTCGAGTCGTGCGCACCCCTGGGTTGGAAAGGCAAGTCCTGGGAGGTCTTCGTGGGCCCATGATTAGGCCAAATCAAGCCAGACCAAGCCAGGCTGAGCTGGATGAGCGAAATTATCCTGGATTTGGCCGGTATTCGACCACGGACATGCCAGCGCCGATGCTGGATTTGACCTCCTAGGAGTTGCATATTCACCTGGGGGTGGGGCGAGCGGAGCGGCGGGAGAGTGGCCCGCAAGAGAGCCCACCCAGCCTCCTCGTCGTCATCCCATCCCTCCTTCCCCTCCTCTCCTCCCATCATCCTCCCTCATGTCTACACCCGCCTCCCGCCACCTGTGTCTTGCTCGGCAGCCGCTTGTACAACATCGCGGCAGAATCGAAGACCAGTGCGCCCGGCCGACTCGCGGGCCTGGAGGAACTAGCCTGGCAAGGGACAGTGGAACCCGTACACCCACCAAACCCGAAATTATGGGGGTATGGGACCTTCGGGTTGGGTTGGGGTGGTATGGCGCGCAGTGGTCCTCCTCCTCCTCCTCCTCCTCCTCCTCCTCCTCCTCCTCCTCCTCCTCCTCCTCCTCCTCCTCCTGCTCCTCATCAACTCCAGAGGTGCTCGTATCAAGAAGCTTAGGATGCACGCATCTCTCGCCAAGGCATTCCAAGGCCTGTGGCTGCAAGGGGCTTTGCCTCGGTCGGTGTATGGGCACCAGGCGATGGGACTTTCCCCATCCTCTATCCTTCAGTTGAGAAGGCAAGCAGCCCAAGCGGTGGCTGGTAAGGGCCCAGGGCGATGCCTCACCACCACTCTTGCGATTTGGTTCGGGGACAAGGATCCTGGTATCAGTCTGAGGGCCCAGCTGGTTCGCTCCTGGCTCGACCTCTGGGACAAGTGCCCCTCCCTCCACCCTCGCATCGTGAAAGCCTGGCCATTGGTGGCCGCGCGTCTCGGGCACGGCCCCAAGTTTCGGGGGCGGAAAGTCCGAGGGCCTATCGGGACTGCGATCGCCACCCTTGAAGACGGGGGGTGGCGGCCGATTTCTCCCACGGGATGGCGTAGGCCTATTGCGCCAGGCACGTTTGACACCTGGCAGTTTCCTGACATTGCCGCTGACCGTGTCGCGGGCGATTTCGATATAGCGGAGTTGGTCAGCGAGGTTGCCGAGGATCTCAGAGCCCAGCAGTGGCAGCAGGCTGCAGAACATGAGCACGGGGATGATTTGGTCTGAGGTGCTGACGTGTCGGCCATTCGGTCCCAGTTGCAGCGTCTCCTGAAACGGGAGGAATTCGATCTGATTGGTCAGTTGGTCACGGTTGCTGCTGGAGGCCAGTGGCCTCGTGAGAGGCAGCGCGAGCGGGGGTATTTAGTGTCATTGAAGTGCCCGCGATGCGGGGCCCCAGCAGAGACCCTGTTCCATCGGATTTGGGACTGCCCGTGCAATAAGGAGGATCCCGCCGATGTTAAATCCGAACATGTGGTTTCCCAGGCCCGCGTCGGCCACGAGGCCAAACCGAGCCTCTGGCTGCGAGGGCTCCCGCCTCGTTCATTCACGTGCCCTTACTTTCGGGATGGGGGGGGTGACGTGGAGTAGGGGGTGGGAGAGGTGCACGGAGCCGATCTCGATTACAGAGAGGGCGGCTTTCTTCGGGTTCGCGGTTTTGCCACGACCCTTGGAAGCCGCCGTCAAACAGTGTCCAGAGCTGAGATCCGCGCGTTTGAACTCGCGCTTCGCAGTTTCTCTGGCCCGTTGCGTTTTGTCACGAACAACACGGCCATACATCGTGGGTGGACTTCCAGAAGTCACGAGTTCTGTAAGGGCCCGAACTCGGACCTCTGGTTTCATGTCCGAGCCGCGTTGGCTGAGAGAGGAGAGGGCGAAGTCCAAGTTGTGTGGTACCCGTCGCACGTCGACCCCGAGGACCCCGCCCTCTCCCCTCAGGAGCGACTGTATGCCACGGGCAACAGCTTTGCCGACACTCTTGCGGGGGACGCGGCCAGTTTTTCCTGGACCCATGGCATTGAGGGCCAACGGCCCCCCGACAGGGATATGTGGGATTGCACGGCGGCGCTGGTTAGGCGTCGCGCGGCCAAGGCCATGGTGGAATCCATCAGTGTCGCCCCCTGGTCCGCCGAGAGGCCTTCAGAGGCCCGTCGTGTGGGGGGCCTTACCGAGGCCTTGCTTCGGAGTGAGCACTGTTTGGTCAGGGCCGAACGTAAGTGGCTGTGCTCGCTGTGTCACCAAGTTGCACCCGTGCACAACCTTGCTGAATGTGCAGCTTCTCCCTGTCACGCTGCCAGCCAGGACCTTACGAGTCTTGCTGATCATGGGGTGGTGCGGGCCAGTGGGGCGGTCACGGTGGGGGGAAGGTGTGTCACTCCTCGCATGTGCTGCATGTCTGGCCCAAGTTTGGGTTGCATTTTGTTCGACGTGCGGTAAACCAGCCACGGGGGGGGGCCACGTCATTTAGCTGCCGAGTGCAAGGCCCGTACCAACCTTCAGCGAATTCAGAAGGGGCTTTTTCCCAGCCACGCGGGGCCGTCCAAGACGACCCAGGCCCGTGAGCTGGGCATTGTCAAGCGCGAGGCCATCCTCCGTGGCCCGCCGCCTGGCGTGCTGATTGAGGATCGCTGAGTTCGCTGCCACCCCGTGGATATCAGCGAATTCCAGCGAATCCCTGCTCCTCATCATCATCCGCAGCATCATCAGCATCATCATTATCGTCACCACCACCACCACCACCACCACCATCATCATCATGACCACCACCACCACCACCACCGCCATCACCATCCTCATCACCTCTTTCATCCTCATCCTCACCGTCGCCAGAATCGTAATCATCAGCAGCATCATCATTATCATCTTATCAGCATCATCCTCAACTACATCGGCATCATCATTAGCATCAGCAGCAGCATCATGATCGTAATCATCACCATCATCATCACCATTATCATCAGCATCATCATCAACATCATCAGCAGCAACATCATAAGTATCATCATCATCCAGAGTAGCAGCATCATCTCCATCATCGGAATCAGAATCATAAGCAGCAGCATCATCAACAGCATCCTCATTATCATCATCAGCAGCATGGTCATCAGCACCATCAATATCACCATAATCACCATCAGCCATACAATCACCATGACCATCACCATCACCATCATGATCATCATCGTCATCAGCATAACCACCATCCCCATCACCATCACCATCACAATCACCATCACCATCACCAGCATTGTCGTCGTATGCCTCATTCTCTAAATCCTCATCATCCTTATCATCAGCAGTAGCAGCATCACCAGCGTCCGCATCAGTACCATCATCATCAACATCGGCATCATCAGCATCGTCACATTCCGTCAGTATCGTCATCATCACCACAACCATGACCACCACCATTATCATCAGCATCATCACCATCAGCAGCATCCTCATCGCCATCATCAGCGACATCAACATCATCAGCAGCAGCACGATCATCATCATCATCATCGGAATACTCCTCATTATCATCAGCAGCATCATCAGCATCATCATCATTTCCATCACCATCACAAGTTCAACCTCCATTACAATCAGCATCAGCATCAGCATCATCAACATCAGCATCATCACCGTCGTCATCATCATCATCTTCTTCATCCTCAGCATCATTAGCATTATCGTCATCATCATCAGCACCATCATCATTATCACCATTATCAGTACCTGCATCGTCATCTTCATCCTTATCAGCATCGTCATCATAAGTATCAGCATCACCATCATCATCATCACCATCACCATCATTAGCATCCGCATCATCATCGTCATCATCATCATCATCATCATCCTGCTCAGCAACATCATCAGCATCATCAGCATCAGCATCATCATAAGCATCAACATCATCTGCATCATCATCATCATCTTTTTCATCGGCGCATCATCATCATCAGCATCATCCCCGCCCTTGGTATCATCATGATCATCATCATCAGCACCATCAGCACCATCAGCGCCATCAGCAGTATCATCATCATCATCCTCATCGTCATCCTTATCATCATCATCATCATCATCATCATCATCATCAGCATCATCATCATCATCATCAGCACCATCACCAATCGCCATCAGCATCATCATCATCATCACTATCAGTAGCACCATCATCGTCATCACTATCATCATGTTCATCATCATCATCATCGCCATCGGCGTCATCATCATCATCACCACCACAACCAGCACCATCATCATCATCATCATCATCATCACCATCAGCATGATCTTCGTAGTCATCTTCTTAGTCAGAATCATCATAAGCAGCAGCAGCCTCATGATCCTCATTATCCGCATCATCATCCTCATCATCATCACCATCATCATCACCATCATCATCATCAGCGTCATCATCATCAGCATCATCATCATCTCATCATACTCATCATCATCATCATCATCATCAGCATCATCATCAACTGTAATGTTATTACCATCGTCATCTTCGTGCTTTTCTCACCATTAACCTCACAAATCATCAGCATCGTCGCTCATGATCATGAGCATCATCTGCATCATCAACATCATCATCATCATCATCATCATCATCATCATCAGCAGCATCATCGACCTCATCATCATCAGCAGTAGCATCATCAATAGCATCATCAACGTCACAAGTATCGTTATCACCATCAAACTTATCAGAATAAGCATCATAATCAGCATCATCAATATCATCACCATCACCCTCACCATGACCATTACCAGCACCATCATCAACATCATCAGCATCATCAGCAGCAGCAGCCTCATTACCCTCGTTGTCCTCATCATCCTCATCATCATCATCATCATCATCATCATCATCATCATCGTCGTCATCATCATCATCATCATCATCATCATCATCATCGACCTCATCATCATCATCATCATCAGCAGCAGTATCATTATCATCATCATCAATAACATCATCAACGTCACAGCTATCATCATCAGCAGCAACATTATCATAACAATCCTCCTCATCATCAGCATTATCAATAGCATCACCATCACCATCACCATGACCCTCTCCATCATCATCATCAGCAGCATCAGTATCATGACCATGACCATCATCTTTTTACTCATCATCATCAGCAAAATCATCATCATCAGTATAAGCATCCTGATCATCACCATCAGCAGCAGCAGCATCATCGTCCGTATGAGCATCCTGAGCATCACCATCATCAGCATCAGCATCAGCATCATCGCTCATCAGCAGCAGCAGCGGCATCAGCATCATCATCATCACCACCATCACCATCATCAGCAGCATCAGCATCAGCATCAGCATCAGCATCAGCATCAGCATCAGCATCATCATCAGCATCAGCATCAGCATCATCAGCATCATCATCATCATCATCATCATCATCATCATCATCATCATCATCATCATCATCATCATCATCATTACCATCATCATGGATCTGCACATCCTCCTCCTCCTCCTCCTCCTCCTCCACGCCCTCCCTCTCCTCCCTGGCTCCTCGCTCGTCCCTCCCCGGCAGCCCAGGGCAGGGAGGCCCGGCGCAGGCCTTCGGGAGGCGCTGCAGGGCGTGGTAGAAGGCGCGGGCCTTGTGCCAGGGCCCCGGCGAGGACACCGAGTTGGTGCTCGCCTGCAACCGGGCGAGGAGGCGTCAGTGCCATCATGAGCACCGAGGCCAAGGCGGGCACGGTCGGGAGCTGTCGCTCCTCGCCGCGGCGGCCCCAGCGACACGCTGTCCTGCCCGCGGGGAGCGCGCCGCTCCGCTCCGCGAGGCGGGAAGCTCGGAGAGGGGCTGGGGAGGTGGGGAGCCTGGAGACCTGGGAAGGGGATAGCGTGTCGCGTCGAAGCGTGGTGGGCCAGAACCGGAGGTGGGGAGCCTGGAGACCTGGGACGAGGATGGCGTGTCGCGTCGAAGCGTGGTGGGCCGGAACCGGCGGAGCGACACGCTATCCGAACGTTCCCGACCGTATTGCTCACATGCACAAGCTATGCAAGTGATAGCATATCAGGCACAGCGAGATCGTCCAGAGAGGAGACCTGCGGGGGTCCTGAGGCACTTGCAGGGGGAGGGCGGGGAGGGGGGAGGGGGAGGGAGGCCAAGCCACTAGAGGCCTCCCAGGTGGGTTCGGAGTAAATGGGGTCAGATCGCGCCGCATCGACGATGCATCACCGACGCATCGGCGATGCATCGGCGACGTCGGCGACGTCGGCGAAGCATCGGCGACATCGGCGCGGAGAAAATCGGGCTCCACATCGGGTCACGCCGCCGACGCGTCGGCGATGCGGCACGTCCGGCCCCGTCTATTCCGACCCACCTGGGAGGCCTAGAAGAGGGGGGGGAGGGAGGGGCGGTTCTTGCAGATCAGAATCACCTCCATCACCCCCCTCGCAGACCTAGGCACACGTTGCGCCCTCGGGGGCTGCTCTGCATGTCACGGCCTCGTTGCCGATCTGTTTTACCGCTGCGTGTTGAGGTCCGTAATGTATACTACGTCGCCCACCTCGGGATGCTACCGTGCTTCGTTTAACCAGACGCCGCGATCCCAGTTGATCTGAGTCTGCCCATCGTCACAGGGAGGGGGAGGGAGGCCGAGACTTCGGTCGGGCATGTCCTCATACAGGCGGATTGTGGAAGGAAACTGAAAATCGTCAAGACAAGATTCGAAACTTGCCGAGAGTAGTCAAAGAATCGCCCCTGGACTCTTTGTCGACTGTTTTGGGACACTCCTCCCGTACGGGGACATGCCCGGCTCGAGCCGAGACGAGACGCTCCGAGGCTCGAGAATGCCGAGTCTGAGGCTCTTTCTTCTGCGTGCTCGGCCTCCCGCGGCCGCTCTCGGGCCCCCCCGGGGCCCGTCCCGACGACGAGGCGGGGCGCAAGACCGGCCCCCAGGGAGAGGCTCGAGAGCTCCGGGGCTCCGAGGCTCGAAGCCGTGGGGTCTTCGGAGGCCTCGGGGGGGGGGGGGCGGGGCAGCGGGAGGTGGCGTCGCGGGTCGAGGATGAGGAGTGGGAGGAGGATGGAGGACGAGGGTCGGAGGTCGAAGGTCGAAGATGAGGAGGGGAGGAGGATCGAGGATCGAGGATCGAGGATCGAGGATCGAGGATCGAGGAGGAGGAGGAGGAGGAGGAGGCTCGAAGATCGAGGATCGAGGATCGCGGATGGGGTCGTCTGGCGTCTGCGGTCCTTTTGAGGGGGCCCTGCAGGGGGCGGACCTGGGAACCTCCCGGGGAGGGAGGGCGGAGGCGGAGGAGGGGGGGACGGGGAGGGAGGCAACGGGAGAGGAGGGAGGGGGAAGGGAGGGCGGCGGCAGAGGAAGGCGGTGCAGCAGCGCGCAGGGAGTGCTCTCGGGCCGCCGCCCCACAACCCCGTCCGCCGCAGGCCCCCAGGGGCTTGCCGTGATGCTGATGCCGTAGTCGCGCACCACGCTGGCGGCACGGGGCAGCAGCGAGGGCAGCGTCATCTTGATCCACTCCGTGGACGCGGCAGTGACGATGTGCACGGTGCCTGCGCTGCTGTGGAGGAGAAGAAGAGAGGAAGATGATGGAGAGCAGGAGGAGAAGGAGGAGGAGGAGGAGAGGGGGAGGAGGAGGAGGAGGAGGAGGAGGAGGAGGAGGCTGGAGAGGAGCAGGAGGATGAGGAGAAGGAGAATGGAGAGAAGGACAGAAAGGCAGAGGAGGAGGAGGAGGACGAAAAGGCGGGAAGGAGGCCGCGTGGACTCTAGGCAGCACAGTGATCGCATTGAGCTCATATCCTCTCCTCCGTCTCATTCTCTCTCCTTCTCCTCCTCCTCCTCCTCCTCCTCCTCCTCCTCCTCATCCTCCTCCATTTTCCTCCTCCTCCTCCTCCTCCTCCTCGTCCTCCTCCTCCTCCTCCGCCTCCTCCTCCTCCTCGTCCTCCTCCAGCTCCTCCTCCTCCAACTCCGCGCCTTTGCCCACACGGGAATCAAGAGCTGCGCCAAAGCAACGAGGCGGCACGCCCCACCCTCCTCCGGCAATCCGACGAAAGTCGTAAGGATGCGCCCATCAGGCCAAAAGCCCAGCGCCCCACAGCGCTGGAAATGGACAACACAACGATGCCCTCGTCGGACAGGTGCCACGCGAGGCCCTCGGCGCCATGATGAACTGCCCCACCGCCGTCCTGGCCTTGAACACGAGGCGGGTTCTCCGCCGCATAACAACCGAGAGCGACGGTAAGCAGCCCCACTCCTCTAAACTCCGGCGGCTGCCGACATTGGGAGAGACCGCGGTGCGTCCACGTCCGTTTCCACTCACGCCTCTCTGTGGGCCAGCTGGAACGGGCTGCCTCGAGCCGACCGCTCGAGGACCTCTCGCAAAGGGTGGACACGCGCAACCCCATTGGCCCCATCAGCCCCGCGCACGAGAATCCCGAACCCACTGCCCCACCAATCACTTGCTTCGCGTTCTTCAGCCTCTTCAGCCTTCAGCAAAATGCCCCAATAAAGTTGCCAGCCCACGAGCCAAGCCAGCAAATAATTCAGGATCCAACTGACTAAGAAGCCCCACAGCTCAGTCGCGGCCACCGTCTCATAGATAAAACGGTCGAGCTCAAGAAACTTCCCAAACCAAGGAAGATGCCTGCGCGACCGTGATTCCACACACCACGCTGACCGCCATAAGCCGCTGAGCGCGCTCACGCTTCCTCTCCCAAGCTGGCATCCTGGTATCCCATGCTTGGGCCAACGCGCTGCTACCTGCAGCGCCGCCGTGCCATCGCTCTTGGAAGCCGCCCTTCGAGCTGAGTAAAATTACGCCGTGCCTGGCCTCCACGACCAGCACGGGCACGACGCTCCTCACGGCTATGTCCACAACGATTTGACAAGTCAAGCTCAATCACGCGCAGCACCTGATCCCAAGTTTTCGCGGGCCCACCTGGTCAACTGCAGCAAGCACTGATTAAAAGGCGCACTCCCAGTCACGAGCGCGCGGAAGCGGCGAGCACCCAACTGGGGCATAGGACACCAGCCGAGAGGTTCAACAGGCACACGCACCCACGCCTCAACATCATTTACAGCCAACGGGAACTGCACAGGATGACGCGGGCACAAGTCAGAGGACTGGAGACTCGTCTATCCGCGGCCGGTCGACACGCAACGCCAAGCTGCTACGCGCGATGCCGTAGTCGACGATGCCCCCGTCGCCCTTGACACACGCGACGCCCCGGGACACCGCCCGCGCGCCCTGAACACCCGGAGCCAATCCTGACACGAGAACATCAGACGCTTTTTTGAATTCTTCAACGCCGACCCGATCCATCTTGAGCGACGCGATGACCTGGAAGTAAGCTGGAGATACGAGCGGAGGCAAGCGTTGTTCCCATTGGGGCCCACCGAATCGCGGAAATCAACAGAAACCACCACTATCCGATTTTGCACTCCCGAGCGTACATGCGCAGCACACATCCTGCCAGGGGCCACGCCGAAATCGAACCAGGGGGCTGTCGTGACCGAGACATGCGTTTTCGTCAAGAAAGCAAATCCACCCGACGCGCCGACACCATCTGAGAGGACTGCTGCACTCCATACTCCGTGATCTCCCAAATCCTTTCTGCCGTATTCTGCAAGGGCCCGAAACGCGACGCGGCGCCGCGATGTCCTGGACCGCCAATGCAGAACCAGGCGGCGAGGACACTAAGAAATTGATGGGAGGGCATCCACATGCGACGTTCACGCTGGCAAGCAGTCCCTCGATGGCCCTCGCGCTGCTGTCGACAGGCGGATGTTCTGACGCAGTTCTCGAAGCTGCATCGAACGCCAGCGGGGAAGAGAATCGCGGCGACTCCGCACGCCGCGGGCCCAGGATGAGCACGCACAAGTGACCAATGACAATATCGACGCGCGCTCTGCCCCCCCCCCTCCCCCAGCGATTTGCCACCGCGGGGACTGCCTCGCGGGGACAAGGGCGCCGCCGGACGAAGCACTGACCAAGCCAAACGAGGCGATCAACTGAGGCGGCGCCTTTTCCATCCCAGGGGAAGAGAGTGCAACGCCGCCTGGCGGCGAAGCCGAGCGAGTCACTGAAGAAGACTCAATACATACCGCACCACGAGAAACCAGGCCCGATGAAGGGGTTCCACGACGTCGTGGCCGTCTACGCCTTCTTCGCAATCGCTCGCAATTCGGGCTCAACTTCGTGCAGGTCACGAAAGAAACCCATGGCACACCAATTCGACATGACCTCATCACCGTCCATGTCGTCAAAGTCTGGCCCTTCACAACGTTGACGTTTGCTATCAGGTGCACCTTCAACGCGTTGAAAGGTTGCCGACTTTGCCGACGCCACCGTCTTGACCAAACGGCATGCCTCGACCGCGATCCGCAGCTCGCCTTCGACCCCATGCCACCTGCAGAAGTTGGCCCAGCACGTCGGCGTCAACTTGAGCAGCAGGAGCAAACTTATCACCTCTAGGAGAACGGGACGCAACCTTCCCGGGGAGCTGCAATTGACCGTCGAACTCCAGGGCGATGGCCCTTAGGCTGCCGCCTTGGACTCCGACTCGGCCACCGCCTGCAAAGTTGCCAATTCCCCCTGCTTTGAAGCCACAAACTTTTCGAACCGCTACAACTTGCCCTTCTCAGTCTTCTGGCCCGCCCTTTCGCCGGCAAATCAGCCGTCGCCCGCGCATCGTCGGCCGCCACCTTCCCCGCGCCCACGACACCAACGCGCGCCGCGCGCGTACTTTCCCGAAGCCCGAGTTGCGCCATGAGGATCGCGTCTTCCGGGTCCTCGCTGGAGAAACCGCTCGACACTATCTCCACATCCGGACAAGCACCAGCTGGGGTCATGCCAGTCGCCGTCCGTCGCAACTCAGCCACCTCCTCCTCCGCCTCCTTCTCCTACGCCTCCTCCTCCTCCTACGCCTCCTCCTCCTACGCCTCCTCCTCCTCCTCCTCCTCCTCCTCCTCCTCCTCCTCCTCCTCCTCTTCATCCTCCTCCTCGCCCTCTCATGTTTATTAGTATTCTTCGTAGTGGTATTACCAGTCGCATTATCATTATTTGTATACTTCGTCATGCTATTCGACTTCATAGTATCAGTACTGTTCGTACTACTCGCATTGTTCCTTTTAAGATTCGTCGCCCTCGTTTACGCCTTATTAATGTTAACAAGATTCGTAATAACAATAAGACTACTAGTATCAGTCGTAGTACGGTTAATAATAGTATGATTGGTATCGTTCGTGTTAGCAGTGCGATGATCATTGGTATTCGTAGTAGTATCAGTCGTGTCGTTGTTGTTACTAGTAGTACATCATCATTGGTGTTCATCCTTGCTCTTAATAATCGTTGTAGTATTAGTCAGATTCGTAGTCGTATGCTTCTTAACAGGCTTCCCAGTATTATTCTTAGTAGTAGTATTCGTCTGATTCGTATCATTCGTCTTCGTGTTCTTTTTCTCCGCAGTGCTCATAGTATCAATAGTCGTCTCATTATTCCTCGTATTCTTAGCCGGGCTCCTATTAGTAGAAGTATTAGTAGCAGTGCCAATACGATCATTAATACTAGCATTATGTTTGTTACTATTATGATTACACGAATAAACTATTAGCATTATGAATATGAATAGTAGTTATGTTCGTATTCGCCTGCTTCCTCTTTCGTCTTAGTATTGGTCTTAGTGTGCTGTTTCGTCTTCCTCGTATTCCTCATCCTCCTCCTCCTCCCTCCTCCTCCTCCTCCTGCTCCTCCTCCTCCTCCTCCTCATCCTCATCCTCCTCATCCTCCTTTTCCTCCTCCTCCTCCTCCTCCTCCTCCTCCTGCTCCTCCTCCTCCTCCTCCTCCTCCTCCTCCTCCTCCTCCTCCTCCTCCTCCTCCTCCTCCTCCTCCTCCTACCGTCGGAGGTCGCCGCGGCGGCAGCGGCGGCGGCGGCTGCCAGCGCGGCGCGCGGGCGGCGCCCCACTGGGTGCAGAGGGCCACGGCGTGGAGCAGCAGGGCCTGCACCGCCAGGTCCACCTCAAGGCTCGACCTAAACGATGCCTTCCGTGGTCCTTTTGTTTTCGTGTTCCCTCCTTGTGCCTTCGCCCCACTTGCGTCAAGACGGAATGGAAACGACAACGGCCCACGAAATCGCCAAAACACCATTTAGGTCGAGCCCTGGTCCACCGCGCCAGCGGTGAGGGGGGACGACAAATCAGATCAGCTCAGAAGCCGTGCATCTCTGCAACGCGCGTTCGCAGCAGCAGAGGGGTCACCACGGTGTGGACACAGGATGAGGAACCATTGGATGAGGAGCCCAGGATCTGGAAGTCGGTGGAGCTCCAATCGTGGATTGGCCATGGATATCACTGCCGCCGTCATCAGATAAGGAATCAGTAAGGGTCTGAAGCCTCCTGGGCACATGCCTTAACCAACTCCCACCGCATTGAACCGATGCTTCGCGGATTGCCTACCCGTAGGTATGAAAACCCTCCAGATTGCAAGATTGCGAGGCGGAAATACCGAACGCAACACGGCTGCAAAGCAGATATACAGAGCGCCCCACGACTGCGAAGCAGAACAACAAAGCACAGAAGGCGGAGACGGGGAAACATCGAGCGACACGCCCCCGATGGCGAATCCTCACGTTCCTGGGCGGGGTGGGCTATCGAGACCCCATCGGCGATTGAATGGGCGACTGGCGACTGGGGGTCGACGCGGCCCACCCCTGAGCCTATCCCTCTCGAACATTGCCCCTGATGAAGCCCCGTTTTCTCCATCCCGGCGTCGCCAGTGCATCGGCGGTGCGGCGCGACCCCCTGATCCCGCCTGCTATGGTCCCACCTGGGAGGCGCCCGCTCACGCTGCGGACGCAAGTGCACCTGGCCGCCTGGAAGAAGCCCTCGCGGGGAGAACGGCGCGAACCGAGGCGCCACGGGGCGCATCTTACCCCGGCCCCGCGCAGGGCCAGGCTCCTATCCGACAGATCTAAATGCGACGTCGCTTGGCTTTCACGACGCGGCTCCCCACAGAGCTTGGCCCCCTCCCCGAGACGCAACGTTTCATCTTGCATCGTTGTTTGACTGTCCCGGGGCCCGGCAGTGGCCCCCAGAGGCCGACAGGGCCGTGATCTCTTCGCGACGCGAGGATGCCAGGGGATTGGCCTCGCGCGCACACTTTTTGCGTCGGCGGCTGGGCAGAGGGCGACTGCTCCAGAAGATGGGCAACAGGGGACACGCTGTATGCAAAGTAGAGCCGCCATGCACGGAGGAGGAGGAGGAGGAGGAGGAGGAGGAAGAGGAGGAGGAGAAGGAGCCCTGGCGTGACAGAAGTGAAGAAGCCGGGCCCACTCAGAGGCGCCGTCTGCGGCAGGGGGAGCGCCGAGGGGGGGAACCAGCGCCAGCACTGAGCTGCACTGAGCTGCACTGAGCTGAACCTGAAGGGGGGGCGCAGCCCAGCAGGCTGGGCGGCAGGTGGGGGAGCAACACGAGCGAATCAGAGATTCGACCCAGCGACCGATAAGCGTGGTCCTGGGGACGAGCCAAATCGCCGAGACCTAGGTGCCTACGAGGCGCGGCAGACCACGGGGCGGGAGAGCGCCGAGAACCGGGGGGGCCTACGAGGCGCAGGGCGCGGGGGCAGGCAGCGACGACCTGGCGAAGCAGACGCGAGCCGAAGGCGGGAATAAGCAAGAAGGGCCACGCCAAATGGGGGAGCGGCGGGCCCAGGGTAGCCAGCCGGGCAAGCACCGAGACCGAATGGCCAATGGAGCGCAGGCCGCCGCGGAAGCGGCAGCAGCCAGAGCACCAGTAGCCAGTGTCTGGATGGGTGTTATGAAAACCAAGCAAAGGGCGGGCGACCCCGACACGGAACCACCCCGGGGGAGCGTGGCGCCGAGACCTGGGGGCCTACGAGGCGCGGCTGGACGCGAGAGACAGAGAATGGCGACCCTGAAAAGGAGCCACTCAGGGGGGCCGCAGGGTCGAGAGCGGCAGCGTCCAGCACGCCAGTGCATGGATGCGAAGCCCGAAAACCACGCGCAAGGGGGGGCACCGAATAGGTGCAAGACGGTGACGGAGCACTCCCTACGGCCAGGGCCACATCCCGTAGCAGAGGCGCCACCGCGCATGAGGGGCCTGCTGCGGCCCCTCGGCGCAGCCGCAAGAAAATCAGGAAGGCGACGGAGCCAGGGAGCGGAGGAACCTGCGAAGGAAGGCGGCGTCGCGCCGGCCGGGGTCCCTGTTGCCCCCGCCGCGCCGAGAACAATACCTGGCCCAGGCCACAGTGGGTCCGCCGCCTGCTCGCTGCATGTCCCGTGCCCCGTGGGCATTGAAGGGGTCGCGGCAGAGGACGCCTGGGACAGGGGCGGCGGCACTGTCCCCGCACTGGGAGGTACCGCGGTATCGCCACATGGACGGGGGGGGCGGGGCGAAATGCCAGCGGAAAAAAGGGCGCCCACTCGCGATGCCCGTCAGCGCCGCCCCGCAGCCGGGTCAGCGCAGCCTCGGCATGGCGCAAGGTGGGGCGCCTGGCGCTTCCCCGTCTGGGCATCGGCGCGCGATCCACATGCGTGAGACGGCGCACTGGAGCATCGATGTCCAGCCACAGCGACGAGGGGCGCTCGTGGTGTCCGGGGTGGTGCCCTTGCGTTCTACAAACCTTCCGCGGCGAAGACGACTCTCTCACTGCGCCGGCAACACTAATACCACCACGCGCCCTGGCCGAGGCGTCACCGAACAAGAATCGGTCGACTGGCACGCGCCCTTCCTGGGCCCCGCGGGGCCCCGGGGGGGGAGCGGTAGATCGCTGGGTCTGGGGCGGTGCGGTTCTGGCAGGGGCGGCCCTGGCGCGGCGTTCGTACGTCCGCCGCGGGGGCAACGTCGCTTCGCGTCGACGCAGGCGGCCGTGGCTGGGGGGTCGCTGGTGGCCCCCGCACCCAACGCCGGCCCCCCGTTTCCTCCGCCCTGGCTGCAAGAATGTCTTCGCCACCAACCTCAATATATGTTTCCCGTCGCCGAGGCCCCCAACCCTCTTCTGAAAATGTTTCTTTCCATCCACGGGGCAGCTAAGCGAGGCCGTCGCGGGCCGGGGCGAATCGGGCCACCCAGGGGAGCTCTCGGCAAGGGGCGCAGCGGCGCGGAGAGGGCCCCCTAGGGAAGATGACGCATGAGTTGGGGGCGCGCTGGCGGCCCCCGCAGCCGCGCCCCCTCTCATCTCCTCCGTCGCGGGGGTGGCTCGCGGTGGCCACGGCCCGTCGGCTTTGGTGATGGCGTTGACATATGAGATCTATGTCAGATGAAGACACTTATAAGTTAATTCAAGTATATATGAAGTTAGTTGTAAGTAACTTGAAATCACTTGTAGTGAGATATGTTAAAATCCTGCAACTACCATCCACATCTAACTTAATTCATTAACATATATACTTAAATCACATGTAGAACATATGTTACTTGTGTGCACCCAATTGCCATAATTATAAGTTACGTATAGTTATACTTATAAATAAAATAAGTTTAAGTCCGATAAGTCTGCTTTTTCGTCTGCTTTTTGAAAAGGGGGTCGGAAACCAAAAAACGCGCAGGTCTTCTTCAGCACAGTGTTTCGCCAGGCGCCAGGCGACCGAGAAGGCCGTTCATCACCGAGCTCAACCCGCGCAGCCTGGGGGGTAGGAAAGAGGGGGCGGGAATGGCGGGGGGGGGAATCGGGAGGGGATGCCATGCGCATTGGCGGCACACCGCCCGCACTTCTCATCGCGGCGCGTTCTGATGTGATTCGTTGCGGCGGCCCACCGCCCACGTCTTGCAAATTCTGAACAATTTTATCGCATTGGCGGCGCACCGCCCATCGCTATGCTTTGCCCGCGCATTGCAATTTGTACGCTTTGCACATGTTGATTGAAGTTTCGTCGCGTTTGCGGCGCACCGCCCACGTTCCCTTGATTGCGCGAATCGTTTCTTCACGCATCGGCGGAGCACCGCCCACGCAGCACGTTTCATCAGAATTCGTCATCGAATTTGGCGGTACACCGCCCACGTTCCCGTGATTGCGCGATGCGTTTCTTTCGCGTTGGCGGTGCACCGCCCGCGGCGCATGCTTCGCCCGAATTTGTCATCGCATTTGGCGGCCCACCGCCCACGTCACCTTGATTGCGCGAGGTGCTTCTGCATTCGTTGGCGGTGCACCGCCTTCGGCGCACGTTTCATCATACACCGTTTGTTTGGTCGCATTGGCGGCGCACCGCCCAGGAGGGGGGAGGAGGGAAGAGGGGGGAGGAGAGGAGAGCAAAAAGGAGACGTGAAGGGCCATGCCATTTCCCTTCGCCACAATACGCTGCCCCTGCCCCACCGAGCGCTTCTGGAGGGGCCGCGGGGCGGGCGCCCCCCGTCGCGCCGCGGCGCGATGGAACGCGCCCAGGCTGCCCTGGGCGAGGCAGCCGCGGCGCTTGCAGCGGCGAGCGGGCCTTCCAGGGGCGCTGCAGAGCAGCTGCACTTCGGGAAGGTGCGCGCGCTCATCGAAGGCCAAGGTGAGGCTCGGGTCAAAGATCCCGTACGGGCGAGAGGCCATCCGTTCCCCCTTCGAGGAGGTCCCCGCCTCCGTTCGGCGGAACGCCGCCCGCTCCCCCCTCCTCCCCGCCGTCTAACATTCCCCCGTCGTTTTGCAAGTGGACGGCCACGGAGAAAGGGCAGCTGCTGACCCAGCTCGGGCAGACGGGGTTCAGTCACGATTTGGTCGGCGCCGCGACCGAGTGGCTCTGCGGGAGGCGCAACGAAGGCCAAAGGGCGAAGTTACGAGTGCTTCGTGGAGTTGCTGACTGCCTCCACGTGGCACGTACTGCTGAGCCCAACCGAGTCGTTCGCTTCGAAGTTTGTCATGTTGATGCGCCACTTGGAGCGCCTCGGGCTCCGGAACCCTTCCGAGCCGACGTTTGGCATGCTAGCCGCGTTCATGTTCCTGGCGTGCCAGCGATCAGGCATCGAGAAGAATTCGCCGACTCCGCAGCTCTTGGACGTGTACTTGCAGTTGGTGAAGACCACGTGGCGTTCCCCTGCCTACACAGCTGCTCGAGGCAAGGCGACCGAGTTTGTCGGCGCGCTCCCCCCCTCGGCGGCGCTGTTCCAGCAGGAGAGGCCGACGC